AAGTTACTTAACTACTTTGTGCCTTAATTTCTTCATCTAGGAGATCAGGAAACAGTCTAGTAAAATACAGATTAAAAACAAAGAAGGATCGACAGATGAGACATCTCACCAAAGAATCAATATGGTTTATCATCAACAATATCTATCACTAAGGGAAGAAAAATTAGCAAAACCAAAAATGACTAAGATTACTACCTTGGGAGACTAGGATGATGATAATACCATGAGACAAACCAGGGAAAAGAAAAGGAAGAGGAGTATTAAACTGATGAGTGTGGCTCCAGATAACTTCGAGGTTGAGGTTCCTCAAGGACAAAAATGTACAAATATCCTTGGTTGCTGGAAAATGCAGACTGGAAATCCAAAAGAGAGGTAGAGCTAGAGATACAGACTGAAGAGGTATTAACATGTAGATGTGTTAGTTGTAGCTTTAGTAACACAAGAGAGTACCTAGGGAAAAAGAGTAATACAGAAGAGCCCTAGTAAGCTCACAAGCCAAAGGAACTCCAACAATTAACCAAGAAGTGTTGGTAAGGCAGACGGAGAGGAGAAATACAGCCAGAAGAAATAATCCTTTCCTTCAAGAAGATTTCAATGTCATTAAGGAGAAAAGACATACACATGTTAAATATATTTTATTATGACTGTTTAGAATTAATAAAAGCAACTTTGAAAGTAAAACCACCTTTGCAAAAATTACAAGTGACAGAATTCAATGAACATGGAGTACCTGACTCCATCTTGCTTCTAGCCTCACAAACTGTCTTTGTACATTCCTGGGCACAGGCCAAGCTAACTATGGGAGGAATTAATTTACAGTTTAACTTTAAAATAAAGATGAAAACAGTCCCTTCCCGAAAGTAACCTCCTCCTTATGACTCAGGGACTGAAACCACCTTTGTAAAATTATGGTTCAGGAGTCATGTACCCAGAGGTCACAAGGTTTGTAGCCTTCCCAATTGCTCCCATAGATAACATCACTATCATAAAACCTAAGACTGGTGCTTGAGGTATTTTTCAGACTCTGAATTCTGATGGACCAGCTGGTGTCAAATAGGTAGCCCATATCAAGAAACTGGCTCAATTGGTCTTATGACCCCCACACAGGAACTAACATGGCACAAGAAGACAGCTTAGACCCCCTATGATTTTAGCCCCAACCCAACTAATCAGGATTCCCCATTTCCTAGACCCCTGCCTACCAAACTATCCTTGAAACACTGTAGCCTGTGAATTCTGAGGAAGCAGATCTGAGAATTATCTCCCATCCTTCCACTTGGCTGGTCCTGTGATAATCAAACTCTTTCTCTGCTGTAAAACCTGTTCTCAATGCATTGACTTTTCTGGGCAGTGAGCAAAAAGAAGCCATCATGCAGTTATAAAAGCAGATATGGAAAACACCAGAATGGTAGGGAGAGAAAGGGAAATTACGCTGAAAGGTGGAAAAGCTAGTGGTAACAAGGAAAAGGAATACTGGCTTAAAGGAGAAAGCCAATTCCAAGACAGGGTAAGTAAAGAGGAAGAAGAAAACTAACATTTATTGAATGTCTACTATATGCCAGTAACTGTCCTAAGATCTTTCAAATATTTTACCTTATTTAATTCTAACAATATTCCTAATAGAAGAGACAAATATTAGCCCCATTTTACAAAAGCAGACTAAGGTATACAAAAAGTTGACGCAAAGTCTTGCATCCAGTCTACCTACACATGGCAGTTTTAGGACTGGAATTTAGGTGAAGGACCAAAGCCCTTTATTTTTCCACCATACTTCCACTTATTAAACTGGCAAAAGCAGGATATTTCTAAAGGAGAAGGGGAAAAAAACAATAAAAACTATACTAGAAAAAAAACCCAGAATTACTACTTTTCTTACTATAACAGAGTTACCTCTTTGAAAAAGTATAAAAGAAAAAACAACCAAAAAATGAGTTTTTTTAACTCATTTAAAAATAATCTCTCAGTCAGAGAACAGGTAAGATTAGACAGGAATCATTGCTTCCAGGCTCATCCCTCAGGTCTATTCCACACTGACACCATGGTTAGAATTCTAAATTGCAAGCCTGACTATGTCATTTACTCCTCCTCTCTTTATAATCTTTCACTAATTCCCTATCAATAGGATTAAAAAAAAAAAAAAACAGAAACAAAAGGAGAAAGCTACCTAGTAAGCCTATTAGAAAGCTATCTACTAAGCCTGTATTCTTTAACCTAGAAAGAATCATAGTAAGATTTTTTTAGTTAACTCAAAAAATGAATGCTTATTTATCATTTACAACGTTGCTTTATACTCCATTTTAGTCCCCCACTTTTCTCACCTCAAAATTGTAAAATAAATAAAATTTCAAATGCCAGTTAAGGAATAACATTGACACCTTGTGGTGAACACCCTAAAATATCAAATATAACAATGAGTAAACTGGCTCCTAATTAAATATCTACTTTTACCTGAAAACAAACCCTTAATCCAGAGATTTCCAAGAGTTAAGAAGGAATAGTTTAATTACTATCCCACATTAAATGTAAATTTGGAAAGCAATGCTAATCTTTGGCAACACTGAAATTAGCCTAAATTCTTAACCATAGGTCAAAGTATCTGATTAAGGTCTCAGGTCATCGTTTTCCTATAAAACAGTATAACCCATCCATCTGAAGGAGCTTTTTTTTTTTTTCCCTTCCCTCTGCAATGGAGTCTTACTCTGTCACCCAGGCTGGAGTGCAGTGGCACAATCTTGGCTCACTGCAACCTCCGTCTCCCGGGTTCAGGCTAATCTCCTGCCTCAGCCTCCCGAGCAGCTGGGACTACAGGCATATGTCACCATGCCTGGTTGATTTTTGTATTTTTAGTAGAGATGAGGTTTCACCATGTCGACCAGGCTGGTCTCAAACTCCTGACCTCAGGCAATACACCCGCCTTGGCCTCTCAAAGTGCTGGGATTACAGGCACTGGGTTCAGTAAATTTGGTTGATAATAGACACTTGATCTGGTTTAGGAAAAGTATATCTGTGTTATTAGCTAGGCATGAATTGTACAATAGGCATGAGGAGACCACTGTTAATAAGGCAGTTCAAATTACTGACACATCTGAAGAGTCTGAAAAATACCCTAGATATAAACTCCCCAAGAGCCAAATCACTGCAAGATCAATGTTCAATAACTGAGAAACTACTAAATTAGCCTGATGACTTTGTATTTATGTAGGGCACTGCTTTTTCCAAAGAATGTCCGCAGTCATTACGCCATGTGTACCTTGTAACCACCAGTTTAGGAAGGTGAGACTATTAAAAGGATCTTAAAAAACATGCTTGTCAGAAACCCTTCAAAGCATCCTCCAGTCTGGCTCTTACTTGCTGTGTGCCCTCAGATAGATAAAACATTTAATGCCTCTTGGCCTCAGCTTCTACAATCAAGACAAGGGCTATCTATCATCCCTGATGTGTGAAAGACTTCTAAGAGAATAAGATAAAAAATGTGAAAATGCTTGTAAATTACACAAATTTGTAACATCACTGCTTCCACTTTTTAGAAGCATCAGAGGTTAAATGAATTAGGATAAATCAAAGATAAAGGCAGGGTAGGATTAATCAAAACATCCTCCATGATACCACACTGCTTCACAAGATCCAACAGTCTTTCTTCAGTTCCTGCTCTCCTACATTATCACAGTGTTCGCTACTCCTGGAAACTATTCTCTTTCAGCATCTATGATACTACACTATCCTAAATCCTCTTCTTCCTGACTTAGTATTTTTTCTTTTAATTCTACTGTTTTCTCCAACAAGGTCACACGATCTCACATTTAGAACATATCTTTAAATAACTGTACCTACACCTCATTTTACTAAGGAAAACTGATACCAAGAAATATTAGTGGCATACTCACATTTCAAACAATTTCTAGACTTTCTTCTTTTCAATACTTAAAACTTCGTGTGTCTCAAACTGAAGAGGCATTAAAATACGTTTATGTTTTGACACCTCCCACTATCTCCACCCTCTGATTTCTAAACCCTGTGTGTTCTGCTACATATCCTAAGCAGTCAGGGCGTAGGCATCTCTCAAGCAAGAACCAAACCTCAGAAAATGTATATGGTTACTTTAGTCAAAACTATGTTTCTTAAGATTAATGGACACAGTCCATGTGACCAAACTCTATATTATCATGTGTAATAAGATTCAAGTTTCACAAAGGAAAGGCCAATTTTGTAATGTTTCTAAAATAACCATTTCTCCGAGCATCCTTCTGGATTCTTCCTCAAGTACATATATAGAGGATGTCTAATGTTCTGAAATGTATTACGTGTCATGTAAACATTAGAAAATCCTGTCAAAATCAAATTTCAATGAACAATCTGTCTGAGTAGGGTGAACATAGGTTGAGTGTCACTGTTAACTTTACTTGGAATTGCATTTATTTTGGTGGCTTGCTCCCTGGAAAAATATCCTTGATAATCTATCACATTTAAAATTAAAGCTAAATTGTAAAATCTTTCAAAATTAAGCCCAGACATTATGAAAATATAGAGCTGAGGCCTTTAAGCCTCTGAGTATTAGGTACATGCAAAGCTTTTTTGGCTTGCCAAACACAATTCTTTTAAGACAAAGAACAGGTCAAAACTCAAAGCCACGTTTGGGGCTGCTGAAGCACTTTCCGAGTGATGCTGCAGTTGTTAGGACTTTGATAAGTCTAACATCTGCAACTTTGATTGTTGTTCTGTAGGGTACAGAAGACCAGGAAATAGCTTATGTCTGTTTTAAGATCTCTGGCTTCCAAATATTCTCTCCCACTGTCCAGAGAAAGGAAATGGCTTTCCAAAGACTTTATAAACTAGATAAACTTAAATCACTGTAGCTACAAAATGTATGACACTTGCACTAAAAAAAGGTAAACTTGAATAATAGTCTCTAAAGCTCCCGTTAATTTTCTCACATTGAAATGTCACAAACTCAAAATGAGAAAGATTCTTTAGAATTCAGGGCAATCTAAGAAGTTTCTTACCGTAGCAAAGAGAAGACATCGTAAGAATTGCGAACACAGTTCTGATCCACCTGCAGAAGAATAGTCTTCTGAGCATTTGAATAACCCTGAAAGACATTAATCAACAAATTAATCAAAACCAAACAAAATAAAATATATGCACAAATTAATCATGTTTGTCTTTTTAAAAATATGACATAATAACAACTGAGTAAATCTAAAATTGTAGAGATTCCAAAAAGTAAAGTATACCTGCCATGTAACACAAGTCTAATCTTTCAGGGCGAGGGAATGTAAAATAAGTTTTGGTGGGGGGATCTGACAAGAGCGAAGAAGGAGCGCGCCCAGCCCAGTCCCGAGCCCTGCGGCCTTCCCTCCCATCACAGTGCGGACCCAGCAGTTACCGCCCCAGCCATGGAGCAAGACAACAGCCCCCAGACCCCGAGGGGGCAGAGCAGATTTGGAGGTGTCACCCAACGCTGCCACCCTTGTGCTGACCAGTCATCCCCAGAGAGAGATGAACACGGATCCTCGACCCACTTTGGTAATGTCTCCACAGCGACAGAAGATGACAAGGATCACACCCACAACGAGAGAGCTCCAGATGATGGCTGATGACTGAACATCACTTGGGGCAACAGCAGCAGGGAGAGGCGCCTGAGAAAGCTGCTGAGAACACAGGGACCCAGGAGACCTGCCCACCTGGGATCACAGAGACGGAAGAGGAGTCAAGGCTGGGCACCTTTGGGCCAGCACAAGAGCCTGCGGAATCTATCCCCACAACTCAGGAGAGAGGCAGTAAAAAATGCAGCACAAAGGAACCCTCAACCCATGTACCACCACTGGATTCCCATGAAGCCAGCTCGGTTTGAGAGAAGCAGGTATCCTGGAATCACAGCTGCAGTTTGGGAATGCATGAACACTGGATTTGTTTCTTATTTCTTCACTTTTAGGGAAAATCTCTTGTTTTAAAAAAGTGATAAATTTAGTGTTAGGTCAAAAAAATAAAATACATTTCTTCTCATAGTTTCCCACGGAAACAATGTTTCACATTACAAATTGTGGTGAACCTCCCAAGGAAGCTCCAGAAGTCGTTTTAACATATTATGTGACTCAAAAAGAGAATTAACAATAACATTTCAACTATGCCTAGCCATCATATGTAACTTTTTTATGGGGAAAAGGGCATTCCAAGTTCTGATTAGGAACACCAGAAACAAGTATTTCCACTCTGGGGTACAAAGGAGCAAGGATACTTTCTAAAAAGAACAAAGGACAATTCCGTAAGAAGAACAGAATAGGTATCTCTGTCATTTAAGAAAGGCAGAGGAGGAGACTGATTTGAGTAATGATAAAACACCGGTCTCCTGCACAGCTGGCTCTACATAAATCACTATTTCCCTATTGCAATTCCCCTGTCTTGATAAATCGGCTCTGTCCAGGCAGCAGGCAAGGTGAACCAATTGGCTGGTCACACCACTGCACTCCAGCCTGGGTGACAGAGGAAGACCCTCTCAAAAAAAAAAAAAAAAAAAAAAAAAGAAAGATAAAAAGGAATAGTCATTTAAAAAAAAAAGAAAAAGAAAAAAAAAAAGGTCAGGGAGCGGTGGGAGAGTACACAGTAATATAGAAAAAAAGACTACGGACCCTCCAGGAGTCCAATTCAAGCCTTCAATACAACAGTTCTATAATCTTAAGCAAGGCACCAGAGTGCTCTTAGTTTAACCTTGGTTTCTTCATCTGTAATATGGAGATGATAACAGCAACTGCCTCACAAACTATGGGAATTAAAAGTTAATATCCATAAAATGAAAGGTATGCAATAAGCACCATATACATATTTGCTATAATGCTAGTAGAAGCATTAAAAGTTATGTCATTACAGACATTAAAAGGATATTGGAAGAATATTATTAACAACTTTATGCTTATAACTATGAGAACTTAGATTAATTAGACAAGTTCCTTGAAAAGAAACACAAAGTGCCCAAACAGACACACTATAAAACATCTAAATAGCCCCATATCTACTGTTTTAATGAATAAGCAATTGAAAATCTTCCCCCACACACAAAAATCCATATCCAAACGGTCTCACTGATGAATTTCATCAAACATTTAAGAAAGAAAGAAAGAGAGAGAGAGAGAGAGAGAGACAGAGAAAGAAGAAAGAAAGAAAGAAAGAAAGAAAGAAAGAAAGAAAGAAAGAAAGAAAAGAAAGAAAGAAAGAAAAAGAAAGAAAGAAAAGAAAGAAAGAAGGAAAGAAAGAAAGAAAAAGAAAGAAAGAAAAGAAAAGAGAAAGAAGGGAGGTAGGGAGGGAGGGAGGGAGGAAGGGAGGGAGGGAGGGAGGGAAAATCCACTTTACACAAACTCCTTCAGAAAGTGGAGAAGGGAACAATTTCCAACTTATAAAACTAGCATTACTGATGCCAAAACCAGACAGAGACAACACACACACACAAAGGAAATTATACACCAATATCCCTCATGAACAGAAACACAAAATCCTTAGCGAAATATCAGCAAATTGAACCAGCAATACATTATAAAGATTTAAAAAGACATATTATTAACTGGATGTAGCCTAAGAATGTCTAGTTGATCTACCATTTAAAAAACAATCAACTAGGCAAATACATGAAACAATCATAAATCTATCTTGATGGACACACCATTATAAAGATGCAATCTGTGAAAACAATGACACAAAGGCAGGGGAATAGAGAAGCAAAGCTTTTTACAGTATTAAAACTAAGTTGGTATTAATTCAAACTAGAGAAACTTACTTTTTAAAAAGATCAACACTGACAAATCTTTTTTTTTTTTTTTGAAACAAGGCCTGATTCTGTTATCCAGACTGGAGAGCAGTGGCGCAATCAGAGTTCACTGCAGCCTCAACCTCCTGGGCTGAAGCCATCCTCCTGCCTCAGCCACCAGAGTAGCCAGAATTACAGGCATGCACCACCATGCCCGGCTAATTTTTGTATTTTTTTTTTTTTTTTGTGGAGATGGTATTTCTCCATGTTGCCCAGAATGACCTTGAACTCCTGGGTTCATGAGATCCTCCCACCTCAGCCCCCCAATTAGCTGGGACTATAGGCATATACCACCATGCCCAGCTAATTTTTATCTTTTATAGAGAAGGGGGTCTTACTATGTTGCCTTACTAAAGGCTGGTCTTTAACTTCTGGACTCAAGCTATCCTCCTACCTTGGCCTCCCAAAGTACTGGGATTACAGGCATGAGCCACTGCACCTGGCATGTTGACAAATCTTAAGGTAAACTAACCAAAGGGAAAGGAAAGAAGACGCAAATCACTAAAATCAAGAAAGAAGTGGGAATGTTAATACCAACCTTACAGAAATAAGAAGGCTTATAAAAGAATACAGTGAACAATTAATTGTATTCCAGCAAATCAGATAACCTAGACAAAATGATATACAAACTACCAAAAATGACTCAAGAAGAAACAGGAAATCTGAACAGACCTATAACAGATAAAGAGGTAGACAGAATTTGTAATCACAAAACTCCCACCAAAAAAAAAAAAAAGGCCGGGCACGGTGGTTCACGCCTGTAACCCCAGCACTTTGGGAGGCTGAGGCGGGCAGATCACGAGGTCAGGAGATCGAGACCATCCTGGCTAACACGGTGAAATCCCGTCTCTACTGAAAATACAAAAATTAGCCGGGCGTGGTGGTGGGCGCCTGTAGTCCCAGCTACTCGGGAGGCTGAGGCAGGAGAATGGCATGCACCCAAGAGGTGGAGCTTGCAGTGAGCCGAGATTGCACCATTGCACTCCAGCCTGGAAGACAGAGCGAGACCCTGTCTCAAAAAAATAAAAAATAAAATAAGCCCAGAACCAGATTATTTGACCGGTGAATTATACCAATTATTTAACACAAATCCTTCTCAAAGTCTTCAAAAACCATAAAAGCAAGGAAACACTTCTTAAGTTATTCTATGAGACCAATACTATCCTGATACCAACGCCAGACAAAAATGTCACGAGAAAACTATAGACCAATATCCTTTATGAATACAGATATAAAAATCTTCAACAAAATGCTAGTAAAAGTGATCTAGTGGCATATTAAAAGAATTATAACCCACAACCTGGCAACTATTTCTGGGTATATACTCCCAAAAAGTGAAAGCAAGAATCGGAAGCGCCATTTATATATCCATATTCATAGCAGCATGATTTACAACAGCCAAGGGGTGGAAGCAACCCAAGTGTCCACAGACAGGTGATGGGTAAACAAAACATGGTATATTCACACAATGAAATATTACTCACCATTAAAAAGGAAGGCAATTCTGACACATGTGAAAACACTGATGAAGCTGGAGGACATTATATTAAGTGAAATAAGCCAATCAAAGGGAAAATATTCATTCATTCATGAGGTACCTAGAGTAGTCAAAATCATAGAAACAGAAAGTTTAAGGGTAACTGGCAGGGACCAGGGAGAGGGGAGAATGAGGAATTATTGTTTAATGGAGAGTTTCGGTTTTGCAAGGTGAAAAGTTTTGCAAGATGAAATACATGGATGGTGGCAATAGTTGTACAACAGTGTGAATGTACCTAATGCCACTAAACTGTACACTTAGAATGGTTAAGAGTAAATTTTGTGTATTTGTAATTTAACACAAATAAAATTTTTTTAAAGATTATACACCATGAACAGCTGAAATTCATACAGGGTATGCAAGGAGTTTCGATACATGAAAATCAATCAGGCTGGGCCCCTGTAATACCAGCACTTTGGGAGGCACAGGCAGGAGGATCACTAGAGCCCAGGAGTTAGAGACCAGCCTGGGAAACATAGTGAGACACCATTTCTACAAAAAAAATTTTTTAAACAAAGAAATTGGCTTGGCATGGTGATGCATGCCTGTAGTCCCAGCTACTCAGGAGGCTGAGGTGGGAGGATCACTTGAGCCCAGGAGTTTGAGGGTACAGTGAGCATGATTGTGCCACTGCATTCCAGCCTAAGTAACACAGCAAGACTCTGTCAAAAAGAGAAAGAAAAGAAAGAAGAAGGAAGGATCAGTGTAATACACCACAACACACATAGTCATCTCAGTTGATGCAGAAAATGCA